TCGAATATTTTGGTACACCTATCCTCGCCGGTTTGCTCTGTCAGGCATCTTCAGTGATGGGGCTTTCCAAAATGTTCGAAGCCTCGCCATATTAATTTATTCTTCTTATTTTTTTTATTTTTTTGGCTGGGGCTTCCGACATCTAGGTCATTTCAGCCCCCAACTAAGTCTATATTCTATATCCGTTCAAACACTACATTCATACAAATAAATACATTCATACACTTAAATACATCCATACAGTACACTCATTCCGTTTGGTCGGTGGAGTACTTGATATTCCTCCACCGAAATATATTTAAACTAAACTAGATTGGGGTCGATGGGGTACTTTTATAAATATTCCGCCATCGACCCCGAACACACACTCTTACGCTCTCATCGTTCGAGGGGTGATGATGACGTTATATTTCACCCTCACCCCTCGCCATTCACGCTAATAAATACATGCACTCAGACAAAACATATAGACACACAACACATAAGACATACTAGATACAATAAAAAAACCCAATTTCCCCTAAAAAGCGGAACAGGGGCTCTGAAACTCGCTACCGTGCTCGAGAACTCTTCTTAAGTCCGGCGGCATGCCTACACGCTCTTTGTATGGAGCCAAGGCATGACACGCCTCTATTATGTGGGACACATCGAGCAACCTTTCTCTGCATAAGGGGCACCTGCGCGGGCTTTGGCCCAAAAGCAGGTGCCCATGTGTCAACCGCGTATGGCTAATCCTCAGTCGGGTGAGGACGATCCCTCGTCTCCTGCTCAGATTCTCTGAGGCCATCTACCGGTCGTGCTCTTCCCTCGCAAGAGCCTCTCCGACGACCCTCGCGACGACTCTTCTTATTGAAAAATAAAATCAGTGTACGTTCACATTGAAAAAAGGTCTTGTCCTCCACTCTACATCAACAACACAGAAATACCGACTTCAATTCAAGTCATACTTAGGACTATACCTAGAGAGCAGACTGACGTGGAATCCTCACACTAGACTTCTAGGATCGAAATCCGTCTTGACCGTCAACACTAAACTCACTATATAAAAGACTTTACTGCGACCACTTTGGACATAAGGAGTGAAACTGTGAGGTTCTGACAAGCCATCCAACTTCCAGCTTGTCCAATCCTCCCAATTAACAGTTCTCAAGCTAATAATCAAGGCTATTGTTATGATGTGATAATACATCACTAAATTCACTAATTTCGGGGTCCAGCGGCGTATCTAGCCGAATCGTGGGTTCGAATCCGGCTCGTGCCATTGACTTTTTTATCTCAACTAAAAACCTTAATTAATTGTAATATATTAATTGGTCAAGCGGACCACGAAATTAGTGAATTTAATGATTTAAAATGAAGTATACTTCACTAAAGTTCTCCGTGGCCATTTCATTTGTCGTCGAGAATCCACTCCGATTACACGACATTTGAAAAATGGCAAAAAGGAGGGAAAATTCAAAAGGTGGGGTTGAGATGGGAAGTTAGTGTCCGAGTGGATCGAGGTCACGATAGCTCAAGTGGTAGAGCAGCGGCGTATCAAGCCGAAGATCGTGGGTTCGAATCCCGCTCGTGCCATTGACTTTTTTATCTCAACTAAAAACCTTCATTAATTGTAATACATCACTAAACTCATACGACCTCATTATCTTACTATTGTTTAATTTTAAGTTTATGGCAAACCACAACAAAACACACGTACACAGGCACGTTTATGACTCGTCATAGGGATGGGATAACCTGCCTTTATGAATTATCGCAGAAACTGAAAACAGACTCCACTTCGGCATATAAAGAAGACAAGCATCTCAAGAACTGACTTAAATCATGCACAAAGACACAAAATGGCAACGCGACTGACAGACTAAAATTAGTACCATACAACAAACCATAGACAAAATAAACAAACAAATAAACAATACACAAACGCTAAAAAAAAACGACTCTTCACAAACATACATGAAATAGACCACATTCACATAGGAAAAGAGACATACAAACTTGTCTTCTATGTTTAAATGCGACAAAATTGTAATATGGGCTCTCTATTTCTCTCTCTTTCACTCACACACTCAATTACTTAAAAAAGATAACAACAGAGGTCGATTTAGGGACAACACAAACTGATTCGAACCCTCGACAATAACTACACGTACAAAGTGTCAAGTAAACTGGCCTGGAGACATACAAAACAAAAGATGAATGCCTAGGAGTCTTTGTAGACACTGAAAAAGAATTCAGAAACGCCTGCCATGAAGGATTCTATAAATATATAAAAATCTACCTGAAAGTTTTTATACAACAGTCATATTTAACCATTTGCAAGTTCTTTGTTAACTTATCCATGCCGAGTGACATCAAGAACTTTCATAGCTGCCGTGCCTCATGCTTGGGTACTTCCGAAATTTCCGTTATACCACGACTTATCTAGGCTTGTCAATATCGATAAAGACCTGGTTGCGTAGTGGAAATAGTCAAATGGTTCGAAAAGTGGAGTAAGCAGTGATAAAACCTCCATGTCAACCCAGTCTCAGATTCCAACAAGCAGGAGCTGTCCTTTATTTCGGTTAAAACTTGATCGTAACATAGCACAAAGTTTTTTGTGCAAAAAATAAAATCAAAGCCTTAAGATTATATCACTGGTCACAACGCTTGTCAGACACAAATGTTACATATCCCTCACTAATTCAATCGATTTTTTCGCACATCAAGAAAATACAGCAATACAGAGTACTGAGACGCACAGAGAGGTGTGCCTTATAAGGAACGCTACTATCAAGCAATAAAGTAAGACTAAAAACGTACGAAAAATGGGAAAACTTTAAAATCTAGAAATCTACAGACACAGCACATCCAACATGAAAGCCATCATGAACGTACAAATTAACAACTCACTGGCTTATTTACAGATTGTACAAATTAAAGCGAAAAAGGACCGACGATGACAACCACCGACTGAAAAAGAAGTATATAAAAAAATCGACTCGGGTAAACAGAAAACCACATAAACCAATGGCTGATGATGTCGAATGGTCTAAACCCGTCAAACCGACAACTGCGAAAGTAAGCATACCAAAATGTTTGGTAAAAACCTAGTAACATTAATTATTACACTGACAGGCAAAAAAATCCACCCAATTGATTTTTTTTTCCATTTTCTCGATAAAAGAAAATTCTGCCCTTAATTTGTCTCATTTTTCTTTTTACCAATAAATATTTGTTTATGCTATGTTTGAAATTGGGAATATCAATTATAGGTAAACACACCTTGATAATATTTTAATTTCCAAAACAAGGATAAAGTATTTTTCAATGTTTACTTTTTACGGAATTTAAAATGTTTATTCGGTCTCATTTGAATTCTGAAGCAATGAACTGTTTGAGTTTCGTCTTTGTTTTATTAATTTTTTTTTCGTTATGAACTATGCATATTAGCCATGTGACAATTCGTATATGTGTGTTCAAAATTTGGGGGGTTATTGTGAAAAAAGGGCCAGAGGCGACGGTGGGCATCGAACCCACGACCGCGGCGTGAGAGTCTCTTTTTTATTAATTTCAATTTTTAAACTTAAAAATGCCACTTAGTGTTGAGGATGGCACTTAGTGATGTTGGACGATCCATCGTGTATGCGGCTATTGCCATCGGATCACCCTACGAAATCCTACGAGACGCCGTTAGACGTTTTTGAGAAACTGGGTCCTACGTCCTACCATAGAAGGCCCGGTTCTGGACGGCCTAGAGTAGCAGAACCACAGGATGACCGTTTTTTGACTTTGAGAATTTTGCGAAACCGACACCTTACTGTTGTTCAAGCGGTTCATCAGCACCTGGAAGTTCGTGGTGTTCAAATTTCTGAACGCACTGCTCGAAGAAGTTTAAATCAGTATGGACTGATGGCTTTTCGCCCCGTAAGAGGACCAGAATTGAACAGAACAGACAGATTTGCACGGCTCGCATTTGCTAGAGAACACAACCATCCTTTGGACGATTGGTCTGCTGTACTTTTTTACAGATGAGTGTAGATTTGATCTACCATCTCCAGATGGGCGTGGATGAGTGTGGAGAAAGGCGAAATGAGAGGTACGAAGCCAACCCAATATATCTCAGAGCCAACCTTTTCAACGTAGCAGTGATGATGTGGGCGGGAATTTCAATGGAGAGTCGCACGGAGGTGGTTGATATTCGTGGAGGGTCTTTGACGGTCACTCGCTATGTGGATGAAAGTTTGGAACAACATGCGTTGCCTACCTTCGATGAAATCATTGACAATCCTTTACTAATGCACGATAATGCCCGTCCACATGTCACTCGCATAGTACAAACGTACCTTCAACAGCATAACATCAGGGTCTCAGCCTGGCCAGCCCGTTTTCTAGACGTGAACCCCATCGAACATTTATGTGATAACCTCAAAAGACGAATAAGAGGACGTTCATCATTTTCTGATACTCCACGATCTTGAAAGGACTCTTCGCGAAGAATTAGCTAACCTCCGGCAAAAAGACATTTCCAGACTGGTAGAAAGTTTGGCGATGCGTCTTCGAGATGTTATTAAGGCAAGAGGAGGAAATAAGCGATATTGAAATGTTAATTAAAAATCTAAAACAACATTAAAACAAACTTTATTTGTCCGACTTTTTTTTCTTTGCAATTTACATTTTTTAAAACCTTTTTTTAAAAAGATTCAATTATTAAACGTTAAAAAACGTGTAACTTTGATTAAATTATAAAAATATATACAAATCAAGTTATATTACAAGCAGGTAGAATTTTTGTCTTGTCAGTGTATTTATTTTAACTTGTAATTTCGCCATCCGAGTCATTAAAATTGGCCAAGTTTGGAGGGGCACCCGCGGTGTGTTAAAAAAGTCTGAGACGTTAGTCATGAAATTAAAGTTAGAACAGACCGAACAGGTCTCATGATATTTTGAGAGTAATTGTGGCTGCTGATGCTCTAACAAATGAACTTGACGGTGAAGCGAAAGCTTTAAACTGTACTTACCAGGCATTGTAACGTTGTCGAACCAAGCTGCAGAAGGTTCTCTCGCGAAGTTGAGATGCGCAATACTTCTGAAAAGCCGCTTTAGATTTTCGTCTCGTCAAAAGAGCCGACAATTGCGATGATATGCAAATCTATTTCAATTCGTTGGCCACTCTACAAGTCTCGCCAAGGCGCGAAACGTTTGCCAAAAAAGACCGTCCTGTTTGTTGTTTTGTTTGTATACATAGGGCGATATCGTCTTGAATCGGTTCCCAATGGTCAGGAGATAAATTCGGAACTTCAGATCATTTTGATTGATTGACTGCACATAGTTTTGTCTAAAAAGTGTTTTGGCAAACTGGAAGTCTAGACAAGCGACTAACCTGGAATCCTCATAGACTTAAAAGGAAAAGAGAGAACAGAGGATACCGCTTACTTAAAAACATCGTAGATATAATTCTACACTCACCCACCATAAAAAAATAATCATAACTCAATACTGAAACGGACATGAAAATAGAGCATAGAACTAGGGATTCAACCAAAGCCTTCCAATCTCAGAAGAAACCAGAATCTACAATACATAGATCCATGGATGATGTTCTGTGTTTCAAACCGCACCATCCAAAACGACCTAAATGTTCCTTTTGTAAAGGAAGATGCAAGATCCAGCTACAAAAAATTTTACACTAACCTCTAATCCTGCTATAATCTGTACAATCCTTCAGAACTCTTCACAATAATCCACCTCGACGTCTAAAAAGACCCCATGACCTCAGAGAGTGGTAGTGATGAAAGTTAATCAATGATTTAGGAATGCTAGCAACCTTCTCTACAAGTTTAGTGATTATTAAATCCATTAGTTTTCGTGGTCCGATTGACCAAATAACATCTTTAAATTAATTAATCTTTATATAAGGTATAGGTTGAAATAAAAAAATGAAAAATGACAAAAAGGAGGGAAAATTCGAAAGGTCGGGTTGAGGTTGGACGTTAGTGTCCGAGTGGATCGAAGTCACGTTAGATCATAGGGTAGAGCAGCTGCGTATTTAGCCGAAGGTCGTGGGTTCGAATCCCGCTCGGGACACTGACTTTTTTATCTGAAACTTTTTGCCTTACATAAAGTTTAGTGATTATTTTATCTCTGAGTGATCTATTTACCTGCAACGACTCGCGCAGATATTTGGGTAATGCAAAATGACAATCCTACATATTACTACTACATACATTCTTCAGCAGCATAAAAGTTCAAAATAAAAGACCCCCATGATTTTACTGTACTGGTTCAACTCTAATCGTTTATCAATATTCATTAAAAAAATGTTTAACACAAATGCCTTGATATGGAGCGATTCTTCTCGTGTAATGAATGACGCCACGTGCATTTTTCCCTGTCGTGTGTTCTTTCATTTGTTCCCTTATCGATCGAACGGATGATGCAAATATAATTCGTGAAACAGGTTTGCCTGAGTCACTTATCTTGTTGTCGCCAGTGAGCTCATAAAATCCCAAGCGCCAGATTATGCTGTCATTTCACGACGTCTACTTTCTACTCTGGGTGGATTCATTTTGAACAATGGTTGTAAGCAAATGTCTTCTTGATTAAAGCGTATAAGACTAAATCTATTTCTGAACTATGACGGAACACGACTGTTCAATTTACAGACGTACTCAATGGTATTCATGAATATTCTATCATAATATGTTTATACAGATGCGTTCAGACGGTTTTATACTAACGGATTATAAAGGATATTATGCATAATTTTATATGGGTATTATGTTCTCATACGAACATACTGTGTTCATATAAAGACAGAACTGTATGTTATCTACCGTACCTCTCTAGCTCACTATCTCTTTCTCTCTCACTCTCTGAGTCCCTCTCACTCTTCTCTCATTCCCTCACGCACAGACTGTCTTTCTTGCTCACTCTCTACCTTCCTCTCACACATTCACTAACTCCGTATATTTCTCTCTCTATTCCTCCCTCATACTCTCTCTCTCCCTTTCGTTTACTCACACACACACATACACACACACACACACACACACACACACACACACACACACACACACACACGTCCACTCTCCCTTCCTTTTTTCTTTCTCCCCCACTCTCTCTCCTCTCTCACCATCTCACTCTGTCTCTCTCGTTTTTTTATCTCGTACTTACTCATTCTTTCACACTCTCTCCCTCTTTCTTTCTTTCTCTCATTCTGTCAACCTTTCATTCAATCTCTCTCTCACTCACTCTCCTTTCTCTCACTATATCACTCTCTCTCTCTCTCTCTCTTTCTCTTTCTTTCTCTCATTCTGTCAACCTTTCAATCAATCTCTCTCTCACTCTCTCTCCTTTCTCTCACTATATCACTCTTTCTCTCTTTCTCTTTCTTTCCTTCTCTCATTCTGTCAACTTTACATTCAATCTCTCTCTCACTCTCTCTCCTTTCTCTCACTATATCACCCTCTCTCTCTCTCTCTCTCTCTCTCTCTCTCTCTCTCTCTCTCTCTCTCTCTCTATCTATCTATCTATCTCTCTTTCTCTCTCTCATTTTTCTTCTCTCTCCTACTCACTCATTCAGCCACTCTTTTCAATCCTCTCTCTCTTTCTCTTTTTTTTTCTCTCTCTCTCTCATTCTGTCAATCTTTCATTAAATCCTCCCTCTCTCTCCTTTCTCTCACTATTTCACTCTCTCTCTCTCCCCCCTCTCTCTCTCTCTCTCTACAGTTTATAAATTAAAAAAATTATTACAATTTGTAAAATACAATGTCAATGTTAAAAAAAAGTTAGTGCAAACCCTAATATTTCCATACATATTGTACGTACTAGCTGCCATGAGCGACTTAAATTGCCTGCAAATTTATAGATTACAATTAGGAGTAAATATGTGCATGAGGTATATTTTAAATCTAAAATATGATGGTCGCATACGTGACAAGTTTGCGCAGCTAGAAATTTTAAAAATAAATGATATGTTGGATTATAAAATTCTATGTACCATGTATAAAATAATAAAAACAAAAAAACCCCAGCTTATATATGAGAACATTAAATTCACTTCTGAAATACATAATATTAACACTAGTTATAAAGACAGGCATATGTATGTACAAAAATATAGAACAAAAACTTTTAGTAATTCGTTTATAGTAAAAGGTACCACAATGTTCTCTAAACTCCCAAACTGCATGCAGAAATGCAATAAAATAGAAAGCTTTAAAAAACAATTAAAAGCTCGGCTACTTTCAAAGTATATGTAACATTGTCAGAAAATTTTTAAAAAATGTTTCTTTTCTCTCTGTTCTTTTATTTTTATTATGTTAATTATTATTGTTAGTTTAATTACTGTTATAAGAGATGTTCAAATTAAAGTTAATTCGATTTAAAACTATGCTTAATTTAAATCATAATTCTGTCAGACATTTTAATATACCTCTGTTAATAAGTAGTGGTAAATACCTTGTAAAAGAAAGTTAACTTATTTTACTTTATGCTGAAGAAATTTTATGTTTTATTTTGAAAAGCAAAATTTAATTTACTTAGTTATTGTCATGTTATCTTTCGTTCACCTTATTATAAATATGTAAACAGATTATGTAATATTATACAATGAATTGGTCAAAGTGTAAAACCAAGGAATATTTTAGTTTTATGTACTTCTAAAAGATTGAGTAGTGTAATTGTAAAAATAAATCTGTATTTATCTTTAGATGTAAGGGTGGTCCTTGAGACCAAATCTTGAGAGATTATGTAAATAAAGCGGTATTAATCAATCAATCTCTCGCTAATCTTCTCTCTCCCACTAACTCATTCAGCCACTCTTTTACCCTCTCTCTCTCTTTCTTTTCTCCTCTCTCTCTCTCTCTCTCTCTCTCTCTCTCTCTCTCTCTCTCTCTCTCTTACTCTGTTTATCTATCTCGATCTATCTATCTTTAATTCATTTATTCATTCATCATGTATTTCTTTCTCTCTCCCATTATCTTTTATTTTTCCTCTCATTCACTCTCTCTTTATCCCTGTATATCTTTTTATCTATCTCTTTCCATTTATCTCTCCCTTTTTCTGTTGTACATTATCTATTTATCTCTCATTCACTCATTTCTCCTTCCTCTATCAACCTACCTCGAACTATTAATCTTTATGCATTCTGTCTGTCTGACACTCTCACTTTCTCTGTTATTTTCTGTTCCATCGACAATCCGTCTTTCCTCGATCGTTCTATAACGCAGTACGTAGTATTTTGTTAGCATGCGTAGATAATGATATATTTCGTCCACCTATAATTACAAGATGTGGAGTTTCCGCTTCTCCGGTCAACGACGAACTTCTAATCTTATATGGAATAATATTTTTTTCAAAACGCAAAACCAGTTTGAGATGGTAGTTCTGATAAAATTGGTCTGGATAAATTTCCGTTTGATTATCGGTAAAATCGAATTATTAAATAATTTCCCTATTGGATGGAAAAATGTCGAAAACATACAATAATAAATATATAATATTGCATAGAATTGGGATTTTCCTACGTGGAACTGACAGGCTCGCATTTCATTCTTCTGAACTTTGACTCCCTATTACACCTACAAACCGGACCAAAATCATATTGCAGGACGTGAAAAGGTTTTAATATTAAACTGTCTGTAATATGACAGGCAGAGATTTATGAATCTCTCCAAAATTAAAGCAAAGGAACTCTTCTCTCTCGGCGGGGACTATTTCAGAAAAATTATAGACCTCTATATCGGCCGCTGCCCTCTTTCAATATCATCTGCAGACGATTTGGACAAAGCCTTATGACATAGTGTAGTTAATAATTTTGTGAAATAAATGATCGAATTAGTGATGAGCGGTCACGTTTCATGTATTTCAGGAAAACAGCTTTTTCATTTTACTACTGAAGTTTTGACCTTTATTCGGGTTAATTAATCGGTTAGTAACCGACCACCTGGTTTTTACACGAAATATGGACAACTTTGGAAATTTTCTCAGCCTTTTAAGTCACAGCCCTGAAGCAAAGACTCATTTTTTAAACGAAATTACGCAGAATAAGATGGCTTTTTAAATGTTTTCCTAGCTTCAGTCAGCTTCAGTAAATACAAAAGTTCGGGAACATGTTTATTTTTGCACTTTTTACGAAAACTTCAAATTGAGCTGGGGAACCAGGAAATCGCCCTGGAGAGGCGCCCTATAGCAATCGATAGGAAATTTTAATATGCTTTAAAATTGATCACCTTCCACTTTGCCCGATTTCTCAACAGTTTTTCGATTTATTCGCGATTTTTGGACAAAAAACGTGGTTGTTTACGTGCCCAAGGAGAAAAAAAAACCGATCACTTTCTTTCCCGATTTTCAAGAATGCATAAATTTTGAACCGTCATTTCTTCGAAAATTTGACCCTCTACAACTTTTATTCCGAGGGCTTTTTCAAAAAAGTGAACAGGGAAGCGAAAATTCTCACTTTTTTCAAACTTTGCCTTTCGGTGGATGCGAATGGGATGCGGAATGTTTCTGTTGTCAATTACCACTTGTTTACCTCATCAGAGAAATTCGATTTACCTTCCCATTTCACAGGTGTTGCGGTTGTTCGGCTTCGAATA